TCCCCAGTGTGGACAGGCCATCAGCTCTCCTGCTGGACACTCAGATAGCCAGCGCTGGCCCAGTGCTGGAGGTGGTGTGCAATTGCCAGAGGGAGCAAACTTGGGCTCAAGCTACACGTTTTCCACACAACAATTAGGAAAAACCAACCCAACTACCCCCAGACACACACCAACAGGATCATCTGCTGTATCGTGCCAAGACTCTTGTTTGTCACAAAAGATGCACATCGCCTTGCAGATTCACGTGACCACATCCTCTCTGGACAGTGAGATTGTCTCACACCACTGTAATTATGCGCTTGTGACAATGCCCCAAAAATAGGCCTCTCTTTTGTTTCCTGCTCAAAGACCGCGTCTAGAAATTGACTAGAGAACAGCTGTGGTTTGTTCCTCCTTTCCGAATCCGCCAAGAACAGTACATCTGCGGCAGAGACCGGGCGATTGCTCAGAGTGCACCAGGAGGGCGAGCACACAGCGGGAAGTGTCCGTCTGCGGGACGCAGCTCCGAAAGGCAGAGACAGCCACTGCACCAGAAGTTCCCGGTCCCAGAGCAGAGAGCTGGGATGCTGGGAATGGACGGCGGCTCCAGAGTCCTAGGATCGGAGCTGGAGAGTGTGAAGCGAGGACAAGTCTCCCTGGTGAGCCGGGTGACTTCCACAACCAGAAGACCCCTGCACCGCTGGCTGGGCAGCAACCCCGGAGCACGGAATATCCTGCAGCTGGTTTTCCGTTCCAGCTTGATTTCTGCTCCTCTTCCAGGTTTGCTCTTTTCTCCACTCCGGGAAACGGAGCATGTCCCAGGGCCCCACATCACACAACGCTCTCCCCTGCTCTGAGCCCCGGCGCTGGGCGCTGGGCGCTGGGCGGCCTTGATCCCAGAGGAGCTAACGAAGCAGTGTGTGTGTCCGTGCGTGAGTGAGAGAAGGGGGTCACACAGAGAAATGCAAGGCACTGAAACCACTCCTTTCCTTCTCCGGAGGGGAGAGGGAGGCGTGCGGAAGAGTTTAATGGGCCAGAACACAGGGATCATTCTTCGCCCGACAATGGCGCCTCTCCGCTCTCCCGCTGGAGAGGAGCCTCTCCAGGCCCAGCTGGCCAGCCGCTCCTCTCCTCTCGGCGCCTTTCACCCGAGCAGCGGGAGGTCGGGGCCGTGCTCTCCCGCCCGGAGAAAGACGCGCCCCGCCGCAGGGAGAGCCCTCGGAAAGGGACGCCGGACCTGGACGGCCGTTCGGATGAAATATTCCAGAGCTTGTGGGTCCCCCCCAGCGGCTGCCTCCTGGGACCCCCGCTGGCGAAGAGCCCTGGGCCTGGAGATCACAGGGAGCCGAGGCGGGACGAGGAGAGGTGGTGGAACTGGAGCTGGGAAGCTCCGGGGGCAGGATCCGAGGGGAGTCATCGGCACGTTTTCCCAACACCCGCCGAGGCCAGAATCCCTGAACAGCCAAACAAGAGGGCCTGGAGGAGCAAGATCAATTCTGGGCGGCTACACCTTTAAATCCGAACTGCGCTGCCGGTACACCCTCTCTCCCCTGCCTCCGGACACCAGTGCCTGATTACACACTCATTCCCAAGAACAAAGCCCTTTTCCAGGGACAAAGGCTCTGGTTACCCGAGTGCCCCTCTCGCCACAGTCCCCTCTCGCTTTACAGACCAGTCCGGCAGCTTCTCCATGACTGTGTCTCTCTTGTTCCTGTGCAGGGGCATGACGTTCCCGATTCTGCTGGGTTTTTTTTTTTTAAAAGTACTCCCTTTCTTCCTTGTTGAGGCCTTGTTTGCTCCAAGCCCTCCTCCACGCCAGCGAGCACCCTGGGTACACTGGCTCTGCCACACCCCCGGGCGGCGACTGGAACTCAGAAAAGTGCCCCCCACAAACCCAGAGAGCTTCCTCCAGACAGCTCCCCTGCAGCGACTGGGCCCCTGCAGCGCTGCGCCAGCAGTCACAAGGCCATTACCCATTAACCCACCTGACTGCTAATAAACTTGCTGCCAGTGCTCGCTGGCCGGGCCTGCACACTCACTTCCCCGGCGGGGCGTGCCACAGCGCACACGGGCAGGTTACTGTTTAACCCGGGGGCCGGAGGGCCGGGCACGGTGCCGGAAGCCGCCTGGAAGGACTCTTGTCACCAGCTGTTCGCCCAGAGGTCGAAGGTTTTTCACAGGAGAGCTGCTCGTCTCCACGCAGGGAGCAGCGGGAGGCACGCACGCAAACGCTCCCCGGAGACTTCGGACCCGCTCGGAGCTCGATCCCGGAAGAGCCGGGGCGCGATCCGCGCGGCTCTGAATCCGGCCCCCGTCTGCGTGGAAAAGTTTCCTCTTGTGCAGGGAAAAAAGATCTCACCCCCCTCCTCTCTCCTCCCCAACCCCCCTCAATGACAAACACCCTGCCTGCTTTCCTGCCCTTCGAACCCGGGCTTGTCAAGACACCAGCGCCCCCCCTCTTGCCACGCTGGTGCCACACACGCGTTGTAATAGCATGGCCTGGGGCAGTCTGTATGACAGTATCACTCCCTGCAGTCCTACCACTGCTCTCTCTGTGATTTCACCACGCTTACCTGTGCTTTTACTGCACGTCAGAGCACAGGCACAGATCCCCGCCCGCGTCGGCCTGGCTCAGGTGCCGGACCCACCTGTGCGCTTGCTGGCAGGCGGCCCAGCCTCTACCTGCCCCCCTCTCCCCTGAGGCCCCGCCCCGCCACGCAGCCGCGGCCTGCAGGAACCCGGGGCCACGGGATCCGGTGTCCAGGGGTAGGGTTGCGAGACGGACAGACGGGAGGGAGGGAGGGAGGGGGGCGCCGCTCAAGGAAAAGAGAGAAACTCCGGAGAACAGCCAAGTGCAGCCTTGGAGAAGAGTGCAAAGGAAACTGGGAAACGTCCCTGAAGAGGAAGCGGGCCGAAACCACGGCCAGATCTACACAGCTTTACCACTACAGTCACAGAGAGCAGGCCACCGGGCCCACCGAGCCCGTTCGGTAGTCAGTAGCTGCAGTGGTCCAAGGGTCTCTTCCTGTCATTTCTTGAAAGAAGCCAGGGTTATCGGCTTCTACTGTCCTGGGTGGGGCGCTGGCTCTGTGGCTGGAAGGTGGCCGGTTTGTATCCTGCGGCCTGCAGGGGAATCCTACTCTGTTGGGCCCCTGAGCAAGGCCCTTAACCCAACTGCTCCAGGGGCGCCGTATAAATGGCTGACCCTGTGCTCTGACCTCCAGCTTCTCTCCCTGTCTGTGTGTCTCATGGAGAGCAAACTGGGGTATGCGGAAAGAAAAAAATCCTTACACAAGAACTTTTATATGACCGATAAAGTGATCTTATCTTAACATGTCTGGGCAGCTTGTTCCACACTCCCACTACCCTTTGTGTAAAGCAGTGTCCCGTTTCTGGGCCTGTATGTGTAATGTGTCTGAATCGGGTTCTTCTCCAGCAAAGGGGATCTGTCATGGCACTGGGGACAACACCCAAGGCTTTGCTGCTCCAGACTGAAATGTGCTCTCCAGTGCATCGCGGTAAAGCCAGGCAGAGATCGCCTACTCGTGCACGGTGTCGTTTCTTATCAGAGAGCTGGATAGCATCAGGGCAGGAACAGTGTACGGTCCTGAGCAGGGAGAATGTTTAGTGCCAAGGCCAGACAGAGAAAGAAGGAGGCATAGAGAGCATCCCGCCGATCCGAGCAGTGGACCCCAATGCTGCCTACAGACACACAGTGGGGTCACCTTCAGCCGGCTCCATCTGACCAGTTACAGGGAGTCTTGTCACAGTAGTGCGAAACCCTACGCTACCATAATCCAGATGCTCGTGGTGCCCGAGACGATTAGTGAAAGAGAAAATAGACAAGTTTAAATGCATCTGTGGGGAATTCTGAAATGGAGACGGACCTGTCTTTAGGTATCACAGAGCATAAACGATTACCCGCCACGTCTCCCTGCCCAACTACAGCCCCACTGTCTTCAGCTCTCAGCCACCTGGTCTCCCCCCTTTCCAGCGCAACCAGTATCAGCGTCTGCACCGAGTGTCTGCGTCAGGCCCTGCCTGTGCTGTGCGGGCTGCGGCGCTGGCCAAACCCGCAGGGGTGTCACAGGAGGCCCCCCTCCCCGCTCGGAGCAGCCCCCCGCATCCTCAGCAACGCACCCCTTACGCCCGGGCAGGAGTAGCTCCAGCTGCTGAAGCCGCGCAGGGCCTGCGCAGCCGGCTGCAGCCCTGCGCAGAGGAAGCCATCTGCGCGCAGCAAGGGCAGACGGGGGCGGGCTCAGATCACGGCCACGCCGCTGCCCGTTCCTGATCGGCCCGGGGGGAGCTGGCCGGCTGCCCAGTGGGGCTGTCTGCGCGCACGGCTGCGAGGGGCCGTGGGGAAAGGCGGACACACACACCCCCCCCGCAGCTGGAGGACAGCGGAGAGTGCTGATCGAGCCCCACTACTCGAGCCGCCGGGCTGCGCGGCCCCCGGACGTCTGGGAATCCGAGCTCCTGTCTGGAAGCCCAGCGACCGAAGCTCCTTCAGCAGGAGAGAAGAGCTCAACAAAGTCATTCCCTCAACAGGAGCTCATCCACGCCCCAGCACTGCCTTCGCCACAGCAGGCACCCCAGCCACAGGCCTGCGCTTATGACTCACTTATTAACCCTCTGTGGCCTGGACTTCCGCCCAGACACACATCTGGATCCCTGCGCACCGGGACCTTCGGGGGGGAGTGGGACCCCATCCCGACTTCTCCAGGTCCCGACGGGCTATGACGGGCTGCCTGGCTGCTCCTGGGGAGGTCTGGGGGTCCCCATGGCTGTACTGCTGGGGAGCGTGAGCACTGCCGGGCTGCTCTTGGGGAGCTGACTGCCTGCAGGCAGCTGAGGTCTGGGGGTCCCCCCCGCAACGCTACCCTTTCCGGCCCACACCACCGCACCTGAGAGCCCCCCGTCTGCGGGGCGTGGGAGGGGGAGCCGGCAGCAGAACCCGGCCGGTCAAGGGGAGGGGGAAGAAGACAGGAACGAAAAGGAGCTGTCCTGATCCCTACAGCTTTGTGGGAAAAAGTCCCACTTACATCAATTCAACGCTTATGTCATGAGACCAATGTGGTGGGATAAAACAGAACAGGTCATTATAAATGCGGTTATGACCCCCGCAGTTGCTAAATTGCTGCTTTTCAAGCCATAAATTAGAGGTTATTTCTTTTGGCTTTTTTTTTTTTTACAGTTTTGACCTTGGGGTTCAGAATACCCCAACGCCGAGAAGGTGCTCTCAAGATCGGCGCAGCGGTGGACCCGGGCGCTGCGTCACCCGTCACCCCCCGCGCGCGCCCGCGCGTACGCTCAGGTGAGCCGTCACCTGCGCCAGGCGCGAGCTGCTCTCGCCCTCCGCGCACGGGCCAGGGACGGCCGTTTGACTCGTGAGATTCTTGCCCACGCGACTGTAGCTATTGTACTGGGTTGGAGCGCGAGAAGGGGGTGGCAGTCTACCCAGGGCAGTCACGTGGAAAGCACGTCTCTCCGGTGGCGGGAAACGACAGGGAGAGAAAAAAACCAGCCCGGGGCCTCGCTCACGGATAGACGGGCCACGCGATGAAAGAGCACGACACGAGCCTCCCGAGAGATCCGGGGGCTCTGTCTCCGGCGTGCTTACTAAGTTGCAGAACAATGCGCCGTCTCTGCCCCGAACAGGTGCGACAGGACGGGGCGGCGAGACGGGCCCGAACCCGTCCCGGCTCTGACCTCTTTGGCTGGCTTAGTCTACGTTTCGTTCGCTTTTGAAGACTTCTCACTGGATCGCCGAAGGGCACGTCCTGAGCTCACCGCCCACTTTCCCCTGCTCGCCACCAGCCACTTCGCTTCCAGTGTATATCCTCCAATTTCCCAAACCAGTGAGTACAGACATTTCCTTCACGCCCGGAATCGTCAAAGCGCGATTTTAAAATTCCCCCAGCACGTCGCAAACACGCCCACTAAAGAGGACCGATATCTGTTCGATAAGGCCGATAAGTGCACAGAGACCCTGAATTCAGTAGCCTAACGCCATCCGTACTGCACAGGCTGCAACCAGGCCTGGCTCCCTCACGCAAGAGCACTCGAAAGCACCGACATCCAGAACAGCTGACGAGACCCGCTGCAAGGACAACACATATTTCAACATATTTTCACCGGTGTCTTAACGTACAGCTCTAAACAAATAAAACACAAACAGCACAGAAAAACTTCGAAACGAAATCGACACCCCCGTTTTTTTCCACACCAGCCCCCAGGAGAAACGCGCGTCACGGAGAAGACCTGAAGAATCTCCCCGAAACAGCGAGTTGTTAAAAACACTTACATGCAGATGGAGCGTTTGTCCTCGCACCTTCCCCCGTTCTCGCACGGCACGTCCGGGCAGCTCAGACCTGCGTGGGGGAGAGAGACACGAGAGACACGCGTGAGACCGGCGCGCGCTGCGAGTCCACCGACCCTCAGCGGGAGTGGGAGTGGGGAGTGGGGGGGATGTGTGGGGCACCTTGAAATGGTACAGATTAAAAACACCCGGCAGGTGCTGCTCGCCCACCGGGCGAATTCGGCGCCGCGATTTCCGAGACGAGCGCCTGACAGCCCGTCATTTCGCCCGAATGGAAGAACACGAAGGGTTTTCAGGTGAACGCGACTCGCAGACTGTCGGGGGACACGGGCTTGGGGCAACTGGACATCTGATAGCGACATGTGAACGGACGAGCATTCGCCTTAATTCCGATCCTCTCGGGCACACCTTCATCTCATACTGGTCCGGCGGCCACATTGGCGAGGAAATGTCATTCACACCTTTCGCTGCTTTATCGATAATCCCATCGCCCTTATCACTGGGAGTGAATATCTCCCGTCCGTCACAGCTCCACGCGCGGGTCTGACGAGCCCCACCCCACGCCGCGCGGTCGAAGTCCTTCCAGTTTGGCGGTTTGAAAATACGAGTCTCGTCTCTCTCTTTTTTTCTTAACTCCGGAGGTCCCGACCGACCGG